CAGGGCGCCAGAGCTCGATCCTGGTGTGTTTCCACAGCAGAAAAACAGTTTTGGGACATAAAATTGACTCTGCATTTTCCCCTAAAAGCTGCTGGATTTTAGCTCCTTAAAACTAAGTAAGATTCATAGTATGACTATAAACAAAGTGTGCTATGTGCCGTTTACTTCTGCAAAGGTTATCTAGTAATGTGCTTAGTTGCGTCAACGTTTAGCTCTCAAATCAGTTTGGGTTTATTTCCCTCGGGTTGGCTGCCATGTCTTTAGAGGGCTTAGTTTTGAAGAAAAGGAGTGAATTTAAAAACAGAGAAATTAGCAGAGCAGCTAGGCTTGAAAAAAATATTTGTTCTGTATGGAAATGTTCCTTATTAAGCAAAAATATTCTTTACAAATATCTATTTCACATTAAAGAGCTATGCACACATATAAGGAGATTGCTTGTGTTAGCAGTCTACAATACGTCCTTTCCTTCATGTTCACCCATAATTCTTCCGTCTGGCTGTCTTTGGGTTTACTGCTGAATCTTCTCTTCAGACAGAAACCCATTTAGTGAATTCATCATCTCCATAACATGGGTGTGTAACAGCAATACAGAGCATTCGTAAATTGCTTCTTTATTGCACAATCCATTATGTAATGGTATATTTGCTCAAGGTAGTAGATATCGCATTGTGCGAGAACAGCAGAATGTTTATAAACCTGTCCAGCACTCCCAATGTATTTATTTTTCTTTGTTCACCCTAAAATTTATTTTTTTTCCCTGTGTAATTGATGCACAAATTGATATTTTAGGGCAGTGGACTGTATAAGTACTCATATTTTGTATTGGTGGTTTTAGGCCTACATATATTGACTTGAATAATGTAATGTAATGTCGGAAATTATTGTATATTACCTACTTATTTATTTATTTATGAGTCACCTTTGCTCAACTGTCCAAGCTGGAGGCAGTATTCAAAAGTGTTTCTTAGAGGGAAAGATGACCCCAGCGGCTCAGTTTGCGTAGTATAATAATTTGTGTAAAATCATTACAGAAATATTGGCCTAAACCGTCTCTAAGGATCAGGCTCTAGGGTTAGTTTTGTCTTTTGTTTTCTCATAAATGCTACAGTAAGACGGAAATATTGATTGTGCATCCTTGCATACACAAACACCTCACTTGAACGCATGCAAATACTAGCACGTTGTTGGCTACAGGTCATAACAGACCACAACACGTGTTTTGTTTTTTGCAATTCGCTAAAACTGTTTTCTACAGGTTTAATTTGGCTGTTTGTTGCACTTTAATTCTATGCAACTGCTTTTTAACGACAGCTGCAATCCTTCATTGCGCTTGGTCTTTAAAGACAAGCATGGCCCATTATGGATTTTTGTTTTGTTTTGAAGCTTTTGGCTGAATATGTTGTTATCTAATTACCATAGACAATTTAAAGGCATAAACTGCAAAGCAGTGCAGTTTTTGATGGTTCCTAATTGAGGCAGTATATCCCCAGATCTTTTTATTTTATGTGGTCATGCACTACAGAATGCAAGGCACAACGTCCTCCTCTCTTCCCCATCATTTGTGTGTGTGTGTGTGTGTGTGTGTGTGTGTGTGTGTGTGTGTATATATATATATGCATTAAGCATTAGTGTGTTTCCCATGACCTAGTTCCTGCACGTGCTCTGTAGAGCCGCGGCTCGAGACCCCCTTCCCCTGGGGGCACACGAGGGGAAAACAAAAAGAAAATGCACTCTTTCATACGCATGAACGGATGAGCACACTAAAATGGGGATGCGGCCTCATATTGCATTCATCATTTGATGCAATAAATACACCGATGCAATAAATCTTCAATACCTAGAGGTTTCTTTATCATCTCTCAACCTCATTTTGGTCTACGACTTTTTATACCATGGTAATTTCAATAATTAGGAACAATGTTTCTGCAAGGTTGCTTTTTATAGAGAAGGTACAGTTTGCCCTCAAAGATGAAAAATATAGGGCTGTTCATTATCAAATATGTTTTTCTTTCTTCTGTTGAACACAAAAAAAATATTTTGCTCAGTTTGAGTTATTTTGCCCTGGCTACAATGAAAGTGAAAGGGGACTGGAGATGTTTATAGAGATAGTTCACCGAAAAATAAAAAATCTGTCATCATTTACTTGTTTAGTTGTTCCAAACCTGTGTGAGTTTCTTTCTTCTGTTAAACACTAAACAATATATTTTAAAGAATGTTAGTAACCAAACAGTTGACGGTAGCCATTGACTTCCATAGTATTTTTTTTCCTCCATGCTATGAACTGTTTGGTTGCCAGTATACTTCAAAATATCTTCTTTTGTCAAATAGGTTTGGAACAGAATTTAAATTTTTGGGTGAACTATCCTTTTAACTAATGAAATAGCATTATATCTTGGAGTGTTGTATTTGAATTTATGTAAATGTGATTTTAGAGCTATTGTGGAGGGCAATATTTTCAGCAAATTCATATCTACTTTTGTAACAAACAGAACCAGGGTTGCCAGGTTTTCAGAACAAAACCCACCCAATCCCTACTAGAAACTAGCCCAAAACTAGCCCAATCGCGAAATACACGTTTTTTTTTTTGTTTTGTTGGGGTTCCCCTGGAAAAATTCGCATTCCAGGGACTAAATATCAAGTTATTGGGGTCGCTTCAACCCGCTGCAACAGTGTTAAAGGTTTAGTTCACCCAAAAATGAAAATGCTGTCGTTAATTACTCACCCTCATGTCGTTCTAAACCCATAAGACTTACGTTCATCTTCGGAACAGAAATTAAGATATTTTTGATGAATTCTGAGAGCTTTCTGACCCTCCCATAGACAGCAATGTAATTACCACGATCAAGGTCCAGAAACGTAGCAAGGAGATCGGTAAAATAACCCATGTGACATCAGGCGTTCAAACGAAGCTACGAGAATACTTCTTGTATGCAAAGAAAACGAAAATAACAACTTTATTCAACAATTCGTCTCCTCCGCGTCACCCTGGTGCCATTTTGGAGAGGATCCACTGAACGTAAACCGCGTATGCTATTCTGTGTCAGCTGCGTTACACGGATACACTGGACAGAACGTTCTCTTACGTTCGCTAAATCAGAGAGAAAAAAACACCCGCGAAATTACAAACAGTAGCTATTTGACGAGACTAAATAATGACTTCTTTCTCTTCCAGAGATTCCAAAATATGTACTTTTGAATTTGGGGTGGGGTAACTTGGTTGTAAGTAGCTTAAAGAACAAATTAAATCCATATGTTAAACAAATGTACTTTTGTGGTGTTTTTCTGGAGCTAGACAGCTCCAGTCCCCATCCACGTCCATTGTATGGATAACAGCTGGGTTTTTTGTTTTTTTTTACGTTTGCGTTTGGACCGGTTTGGATACTTTTTTCATCCTTTCATTTATATATAGCTCAGAGATGCATTGGTTAAAAACTAGCTGCAGCAAGCAGCTCGAGCAGCCACGCCTCTCCTTTCCCGGTGCTTGACGCTCCGGTGCGCTAGTTGTCTGAGAAGAAAGGTTTTTTTTTTGAAGGGACTGTTGAGGAAAAACACTCTAATGGGTGAGCGGAAAAGAATGTGACAAGCGCAGTGAGTGTGTGCGTGTCCAGTGCCGCTCGCGCCGCTGCACCTGTCCCTCTCCGTCTCGCGCACCCAAACTCGGCAGGCAGGCAGGCTCGCGCGGAAGGCGGGCGTTATCCAGTCAGCGGCGCACAACACGGTCAGCCTGAACATGACTTCGTCCTACAATCTGGATTTCCTACCCGAGATGATGGTAGAGGGACGATTGTTGAGCGCCGGAGAAAGGATGTAAGCGCTTAGCTGTTTATCTCATTGCTTCCTCAGCTCTCTTCTGTCATCTTGTTCGTGTTGACAAATAGGGCACGCGGTAGCGTGTTTGCGCCGCGCGTTGTGTTATCAGCAATCAGATAACGGGGCTGATGGTGCTAATGTTGTTTTTGCTTTTAACTTTATTAATGTGCCGCTGCTCAAACGCATCCAGGAAATAAACACGTTGGGTTTAGTGCTCCGGAATCGGACAGTCCGAATCCTGTCTCAGAGTTACGTTACATAGACTGATCTGCAGTGCATGGGCGAAATTGTAGCAGGGAATAGTCAGTGTAGCAGTAATAGTCAATGTAGCACTATGCGAGAAGATGAAGTTAAATGTAATAGTCCACTGATATCACATCTGATTAAAAATGGGGGGTATTTTGGGGGTAGGACGGAACACAGTTTCAGTTGATATGCTTGTTTTTTTAAGACTCATTCATGTTTTATCAGGATCAACTTTAAAACGCCTTTGTTGCTTGTGCACGCACATCCATAATAGATTTGATCTTGTTGTATAATATGTATAGCCTATGGGGTTGAAAAGTAGGCTGTGCCTACTACACACACACACACACACACACACACACACACACACACACGCGCGCGGTATATTTTACGATACTTTTATTGTAATGGACAAATTTATAATTTATCAGATATTATTAGATATATCAATTTAGGGAAAACATATTGTAAATGGTGCATTACTATAGTTTTCCCCTCCTTTAGCCTATATAATAGTTCATGCATCAGATCGATAAATAGCGGAATAATTGTTTTATGTTGAACGCCTATGATCTGCAGCGCAATATCAGCTCGTGCATTAATAAGAGACATGTGACTGAAATGGCTCGAGCTCAGTGTTGAGAACATGCGCCGCTCCGTCTCTGCTTTTAAACCATCGGAATGCGCAGTGACTGGCTCCCCTTCTCTCTCTCACCCCCCTCTCTCACTCTCTGTATCTGGGTTGTTTCCAATTTGATTTGTTACGTGGCATGTGTTGCCGAAATCAGATTAGAGCACGCGCAGGACACGTAATTCACTTAAAGTACAGTGTTGCGGGGCGCGAGAGATAGTTTGATGCAGCGCGAGCTCTTCACGGACGCTGCAGCTGTCCCACTTACGTCCGCTCGCTCTACCTACTAAGAGTTGATGAGCGCTTGTCTTGTGGTGAGAGAATTTCGCCCCGTTCTCTCTTTTTGCTCTCCATTTTCCTCACTATTCTCATCTACAGGCTATTCACTTGATATAGTGTGTGACAGTCTGCTATTTGTTAATGTCTATAACGACACTTTTGGGAACAATTTGAGACAGAACCAGGGTTGCCAGGTTTTCAGAACAAAACCCGTCCAATTGCTACTCGAAACTAGCCCAAAACTAGCCCAATCGCTCCCGAGGGGGACGCTTAAAAATCGCGTTCTGGGGATAAAATACACGTTTCAGGGTTCCCCTGGAAAAATTTGCATCCCAGGGACTAAATATCAAGTTATTGGGGTCGCTTCAACCCGCTGCAACAGTGTTAAAGGGTTAGTTCACCCAAAAATGAAAATTCTGTCGTTAATTACTCACCCTCATGTCGTTCTAAACCCATAAGACTTCCGTTCATCTTCGGAACAGAAATTAATATATTTTTGATGAATTCTGAGAGCAACCCTCTACATTGCGAGTAAATCACTCGCATATGCGACTAAATCTTCACTCTGGCGACTAAATGATGACTAATATTAGCCAATGGCTAATAAATTCTCAGATTTTACTCGCCAGTGTGTGAGTTGGAGGCTAAGTATAATATATGTATGTGTGTGTGTATATGTGTGTGTGTGTGTATGTATATGTGTGTGTATATGTATATGTGTATGTGTGTATATGTATGTGTATGTGTGTATATGTATGTGTATGTGTGTATATGTATGTGTGTGTGTATATGTGTATGTGTGTATATGTATGTGTGTGTGTATGTATGTGTGTATATATGTATGTGTGTATGTATATATTTATCAGTCTGGCGAGTAAACAAAAAAATTTACTAGCCAATGGCGATTCAATTGCCAAGGTGTTCGTAGAGGGCTGGAGAGCTTTCTGACCCTCCCATAGACAGCAATGTAATTACCACGATCAAGGTCCAGAAACGTAGCAAGGAGATCGGTAAAATAACCCATGTGACATCAGGGGTTCAACCGTAATTTTACGAAGCTACGAGAATACTTTTTGTATGCAAAGAAAACAAAAATAACAACTTTATTCAACAATTCGTCTCCTCCGCGTCACCCTGGTGCCATTTTGGAGAGGATCCACTGAACGTAAACAGCGTATGCTATTCTGTGTCAGCTGCGTCACACGGATACACTGGACAGAACGTTCTCTTAAGTTCGCTAAATCGGAGAGAAAAAAACACCCGCGAAATTACAAACAGTAGCTATTTGACGAGACTAAATAATGACTTCTTTCTCTTCCAGAGATTCCAAAATATGTACTTTTGAATTTGGGGTGGGGTAACTTGGTTGTAATTAGCTTAAAGAACAAATTAAATCCATATGTTAAACAAATGTTCCTAGTCTTATTGTAAACATGTTTTAAAGAAAAAAAAAAAGATAGCTGCTCCTTTGAAAAGACTCCTTATCATTTGTTTTTATCCAAGCAAAATCACTATGGATGAAATCAAGCACGAGGCTACATTATTCGGCTAGAACAGTGGTTTTCAACTCAACTAGGGATGCCCACTACATCATATTTTTGTTAATATTTTACTGTTACGGTTTAAGTTAGTCTAGGGAAGACCGCAACAGAAAATAAATAGTTGGTTATAAAATAAAAAGAAGTTCTTATCAACTTAGTAAGGCCTTCAAGCCAATAATGTCTTGGACAAAAGGTGGCATTGGAGTCAAAACGGTTGAGAGCCACTATTTAGAAGTCAATTTGATGTAATATATGTGAGTAGGCATGTGCTTTACCAGAACTAGTTGGTTAAAATCTTGCACCAGGTCACATCGGTTTATTTATTTCTGTTATGAGGAGTAATATTTGAATAGGTCTTGTTCATTTTCCCAGTTATAACATGTGATTGCTATCAAAAGGTATTCAGAATGCATGTTCTGAGTTTTTTTTTTTTTATTCACTCATGAATGTTTCTCTTTGTGTAGGGGCCTTTCTGATGCATTCAGCTCCCAGGTTTGAGGTTTGACCATAAGCATGGACTAGCACTTCTGTGACAAGGTGTTGCTATCAGTCTCCCGTTACACACACACGTAAGAAGGTGGACGGGCAGCATCCAGCTGGCCTGTGTTCCAGTGAGTGAATACTTGCTAATCTCTCTCTTCACTACGTGATAAGCCGCTCACCTCTCTGCCAGAAAAACATTACACACACTCGAGTGAGAATATAAAACACCTGTCCTTTAAATCCCCAACTGCGCAGTCTACATTTCTGCCTGTCGTAAGCCACTTCAGCTGCCAACTTTGTTGTTGATTCTGGATTATGGCTTTTTGTTTTGCAGTAAAGTGTAGTCATTTGACAGACTAACTTCATTTTAGATCTGAGAGCACTCCAGTGGTCCTCCAGGACACAAAGAAGCTCTTATTGTGTAAGAGAAAGGGGCTGATCAGAGTTCTGGTGTGGGGTTCACTGAACTTGTTTTCCATCCCACTGGAGGATGTGTTGGAGGATTGGTGGGAGGGGATGTTGGCAATTCAGTTACATTTCTTGCAAATATGATGCAAATTGAGGCAAATTTCTGAAAATAGCTAGGTTTTTTCATTTCTTGCTCATCCAGAAGTCACCGCCACAACTTTATATTTCACAATAGGGACTTTTATATCTCACAATTGGCTATTTATTATTTCAATCTTTATCTTACAATTAGTTTTCGGTCAACGTGGAAACAGGCCTCCAGACAAAAAGTCTTTTCCAAAAATGAAAATAAAAATAAATTACACAAATAAGCACAAGAGGAAGTTTGTGTCAAGTTAATGTAAGTTATCATTTGGTTTTGTATGTGGGAAAATTACGTCGCTAGTAGTTGATTTGATTTCAGAAACACTTATATTGTTTGGCGAGATTGAGTTTCTCTCTCTCTCTCTCTCTCTTTCTCCCTTTAGCAGACAAGTTATTTTTTCCACAGTTATCTTCACAAAACTCTGGGAAGTCTGTAACCTTTGACTCATGACCTGTTTGAGTGGTTCCTCACATCTGCTGTTAACCTAGAGCATGAGACATAAACGGAAGGGAAGGAAGACAGGAAAGACAGAGGGAGGGTAGAGATCCCTCCAGCGCTTAAAGAGAGCAGTTTCATTCCAGAAATCGCTGGAAGATAAAGGGATGATTAACAAGTGTGAGGAGCTGTGGCACACACACACACACACACACACACACTCAATCAGCCAACCTTAAAGTCATCATGTAATCAAAATTGGCACTATTTACTTTCTTAATACACGTTCCTGGTCTTATTGTGCACGATTCATCGGTGCATGTTATTAATATGTTTGTCTTCGTAATCTTTCATCAAAATGCAATAACTTCCTTCTTAAACGGCTGATGTGCCATTCAAAAAGCCTCATCAAATGTGGGTGCCGGTGGTGTTTTAGGCGGAGAGTCATAGACATCCAGAAAGTGAATGCGTGAGACTGACTTTTTAAACTTAAGGCCAACGTTTTTCTTTTAGTGCTATAAAGTTGTGTTGTGTTTCAGGGTCAGATGTGTATTTGTATGTGCAAGAGGTACTGCATCACTCATGTCTGCGGTTAGCCGGCCCATATGTGTGAAAGTGATGGATGAGGAGATGATTGATGGGGCTGGAGGATGTTGTGGCCACGGAAACACAATTTTTCCATATTAGCACCTTTGCCTCCTTTCTCAAGTCTGTATTGTAGAATCTGTTTGGATGTACAATTGTTAATGTTAACAACAAAACAGGAAGTGCATTCGCATCCCTTAAAAGTAGATTGTATTTAATTCTGTTTATTTTTCTATTCAGTGCA